GTGAAAGATCTGGGTGAGCTACGATACTTCTTGGGTATTGAGGTTGCTAGATCTAAACACAGGATCTTTATTTCTCAAAGAAAGTATGTTCTAGATCTATTAGCAGAAACTGGAAAGTTGGGTGTTAAGCCTGCAGATGCACCCATTGAACAGAATCACAAGATCAGTGCAGAGGGTGGAGAGCCTCTTGAAGACAAAGCTATGTTCCAATGGTTGGTTGGAAAACTCCTCTATCTTTGTCTCTGTCTCGCACAACCAGACATCAGTTATGCAGTCAGCGTTGTCAGTCAATACATGCACTCTCCTAGAACTACTCACCTCCTTGCAGTTGAGAGAATATTAGCTTACTTGAAGAGATGTCCATGTAGAGGTATATTATTCAAGAATAATGATCACATGAAGATAGAGGTCTATATAGATGCTGATTGGGTTGGGAGTGCTGATGACAGGAGGTCTACCTCTAGATATTGTGCCTTTGTAGGAAGTAACCTTATCTCCTGGAGGAGTAAGAAACAAAGTGTTGTTTCTCGTTCTAGTGCTGAAGCTGAATATAGATCGATGGCTAATGGTGTGGCTGAAATCCTATGGCTGAAGTCATTACTTGAAGAGTTGGGTATTGATTATGAGAAGCCCCTAATGTTGTATTGTGATAATCAGACTGCTATTAATATAGCTCACAATCCGGTACAACATGACAGAACTAAGCATATCGAAGTCGATCGACATTTTGTCAGAGAAAGGGTTTCATCTCAAGAAGTGTGTCTCCCGTATATCACCTCCAGCATGCAGCTCGTAGATCTTCTCACCAAGGCTGTTCCAAGGAAGAAGTTAGAGGCAGACCTATGCAAGTTGGGAATGACAAATATCTATTCCCAACTTGAGGGGGAGTGTAGAGAACACTGATGTGGACCCCACAGCTGTGGCCCCCACTGTGTTCGTATGGCAGCACAACATGTATTCTTTGTTAGTTATGTCAATGTTAGTTGGTAGTTATTTCAGTTTGTTGTTACAGCTTGTTATTTCAGCTTTATTATTAGTTTATTTGCCATGTAAGAAATAAGGGCAATTCAGCCTTTTTTACAATTAGTAAACATATAAATATTAAGAGTGGGTCGGCAGATGAGAATTATTCGACCCTCTCTCTCTCCTTTTCAAAACCCTTTGTGTGCTTCTGCTTTTCTCCCTCTTTTCTTCTTTTCTCCTTCCGAAATCTTTTCTTTTTACTTTCGGATTCAAGACTGATTTAGTCTTGATCGACTACTCTTTATAGTCAGCGTCAGCAATGCTTTCTTTCAACAACAATCTGCTTCTTACTTTTATGTGTATCTAAATTTCCTTCCAAGAAGGTTCAGTAGCTAGTCATGGGACCTTCTGTCAGAGGTGCATCCAGCCCAATCAGCATCTATATATCCCTCTATTTCTAATTTACCACTTGTTTTAAACAACAATGCATGCCCTGATGCTCCCTTTAGATAGTGTACAATTCTGGTCACTACATTCCAATGTGGAACCGAAGGGTTCTACATTAATTGGCTTAAAACAATTACTACAAAAGAGATATCTACTCTGACAATGGTCAAACAGTTTAGCTTACCAACCAGTCATTTGTACCTTCCAGGATCAAATAGTTCACCAAGCATGTCAATGTCCTTAAGAAGATAAAGAACATACTTTCTCTAACACAAATTGATGCCACATTTCAATCATGCTGCTTCAATACCCGAGTATTTCAATTTTCCAAGATCTTTTTGTCTGAAATTGTTCGTACAAATTGTTTAAGCTCTCTTGTCCCTAGAGAATTTTTTGATGAACAACAATAGTTTTAATACTTCAAAAGATAATGGATAACAACAGCCCGTGGAGAGGCACGAGCTGCGGCCTCTCTCATCTGATTACAAAGAAACTTAAAAGGAAAAGACAAGCATTACAGACAAGCAACTTCCCTAGTTGCCCCTTGCTTGGCTAAGCCATCAGCCAAAGCATTAGCAGATATCCCCACCCAATGTGTACTAACAAACATATTCCTTGTCAGCCACTTAAATTTTGACTTCATTTCTGTAGCACCATGTAGTTTCCTCAGGGTTCTGCAACCACCCCACCACCACCTAGGAGCCCCCTTCTATAACAAGCTGTCCTACACCCAATTGATTTCCAAGTTTCACTCCTTGTATGGCTGCTAATAGTTCTGTTATGACTGAATCCCCAAATCCCAAAGGACCTGAATAGAGAAGTACAATATCTCCAGCCTCATTTCTCAAGGCCCCACCCCCCCAATTCCAGAGTGCCCTAGGTTACCCTGACTGCCATCAAAGTTCAGTTTCATTGAACCTTCAGGCAGTGGAATCCATCTTGTAGTTGCCTTAGTCTTCCTAGAAGAACACCTTCCTACTGCTAGCCAATTTCTCCATAAATCTAAAAAGGAAAAGTGATGGAAAAGTTCTAGAGTCTTTAGCCAGTGGATTGTGTCAGCAAGATGAACAGTAGAGAGTCTAACACCAGATTTCAGGGGTGTCCAAGAATGAATTCGCCCCCCATCCCCCAAAGAGCCTTTACAATATTATGAATATTTACAAGAAAGCCCTTATGACCTCAAGGAATTTACAAGAAAGCCCTTATAGGGCTTATAGAGAAAAAAATAAAGTAATAAAAGATACAACATATCAGGGGCTATAGTATCAGAATACATCAATACTTTCCACACTCCCCCTCAAACTGATGCGAAGTCATAAGCATCAGTTTTCCCAGAAGAAATAGATGTCTTGCCCTCCTCATGGCCTTAGTAAAAATATCAGCAATTTGCATATCTAAGGCCACATGAGGAAGAGAAATACACCTAGAAAGAAAAATGTCTCGAATAAAGTGACAATCCACTGGTGTTGTCAGCATAAAGAGGAACCAGAGTAGGAAGATGAACACCAAGGTCATCAAAGAGGGATTGTAGCCAAACAATCTCACTACAGATAGATGACATAGCTCTATACTCTGCTTCTATAGAGGTTTGGGAGTGGGTGACTACAAGGTTTATCTATTCTGATGAGACGAGCTCGCCAATATGTACGAAAAGATCAAAGTCTGAATCAGGATCAGACAAATGCCTCTTTTGGATCTACCAAAAAGTTCTGTAATGCGTGGACTCGAAACAGGGAAGATTCACAGGGACTTGATAACAGTTAAGACCTCAAAACTTTTGAAGGGGATGGTGCAAATGGTCTAGACAGTGTGTTGAAGAGCAATGTAAGCCCAAGAACGTTTGACAGTAGGGAGTTTGATCAGATGTCCGAAAGAGAAACAATTGTAGTGGAATTGGATATGATGTATTAGGAGGGAGGCAGAAGAAAATCAGTGGTAGTGGGTAAATTAGGGGTGGATCTGGGCAGGAGAAGGAATGCAAGGACCTCGAAGTTTCCTGTTAATGACACACTTAAGACAGGGGATCTCAGGAAATGCATAGGGTCTAAAAATAGGCAGCTGGTCCATGTGACCAAAGTTTTTCATAGGCTTAAGGAAGGGTTTGTAGGGGATGGCATCCTGTGGCAGATTCAAGAGAATCTATAAAGAAAAGGAGTGAAAATGAAGGTTAAACAATCCTCTTCGAAAGACAAAGACAAGGTTTTTCCTACAGAGTTAGACCCGGCTAACATGATGCAAGTTTCTGTTCCATCCTCTCAAAAAGATGAGGTTTCCTCAAGGGAGAAGTCGGAAAGAAATGATTTAGAGGGCACCAATGAGAAGATCGGGAAGGAGAACTTAATTGAAAAGAAGGATAATGAAAAGGTGGAAGAGGGAGAGGGAAAGGATGAAAGAATGGAAATGGAGGATAACAGAGTAGCCACAGATTTACAGCCTGAGGAACAAAAGGAGATGGAAGAGGGGGGAGGGAAATTAGGGGGAGGTGGTTTTGAAGAGTCTCCTAAGGAAGGTATCCCCAAGAAGGAAAAAGTAGGAATCGATAGACTAGTGGACAGACAGGTGGAAATTAGGAAGTCTCTTGGTTTATTCTTCTTGGGGGGGAGTGGTGGTTAGGAAAGCAATTGAACAGTTTGATAGAAGCCGAAGAAGAGAGTTGAACAATTTGAGGGGTGTGGGGGAAGGGGGTGAGGCATGGGAGGAAGGTGAAGGGGGAGGGAAAGGAATAGTGGATGAAGAATAATGGGTTGTTATCTGCTAAGTAGCAGTTGGGGGAGGAGGTTCTGTTTGAGGATGTAGAAGGCTCGGGTCTGACAGGGGTAGGAGGGAGTTCTCTTCTGTTTGGCTGCATTCAAGCCACAGTGCAACTTCTCAGGGTTTCAAGTTTGTGGGTGATAGGGGAGGGGGATTGCGTAGATGTGGTTGTTTTGTCTTTGGATCCTGCATTTTGTTTGTATGTTAATGCGAAGTTTCAAATTTTGGGTTTTGTTTTATGTTTCTTTTGGGGTGTTTCATTTAGCAAGAGTTTTGTGTGGTTGATGTGATGGATTTGGGTGTAAAGCTTTCAAGAAAGTGTTTAGGAGTTTTTTGGTTCTTAGTTTTGTTTGGAGGTGTTTCCTCAACACCTCTCTAGGTTGTATTCGCTTTTCTTTTAATGAATTTTCTTTTTACTTAAAAAAAAAATCACAAGTGGTGGTTGGATGGCTCCTGAACCCAGATTCTGCCATTTGGGGTTATAGAGATCTCCTTAAGAAAGTGAATTGGCTGACTAGCAATATGACAGTATTCAGTGGGTCAGATTGGCAAATGCTATAGCTGATTCTTTAGACAAACAAAGGGTTTCTACTTCTAGGGACTGTCTGTATTGGATCACCTTGTAACTTTTTCAGTTTGTATTTGAGAATCCTTCTTTAGTTTTCTGAAGAGGTTGCACCTCATGCTTCTTGGGATGCTTGTAACTCTTACATTATGTGATTAATAAATAAATTCCTTCACTCATCAAAAACAAATGTGTGATTCAATCAAATGAAAATTATTCCTTAAGTGAATTGAAATGAAAATAATTTCACTAAACAAACAAGAAAGTTATCCACCTTTGACAAACTATTGGATGGAATCTGTATAAGGCATTTCTTCAGTGCATTTGCATAAACTGCAAGGTCTCCTGCACAGCTACATTTAAAACAGATTACCAATTACAACAGGAACTAGACCGGAATCTAGGGAAACTCATAATATGCAGGTTCTTTGTTTCTTTCATTCCTTTTTATCTATTATTTGGGTGTAGGTATATGAGACACAGATGTGCCTTAGCAGATGAATTTGCGCAAACTTTTTTTCTTTTTGTGGATAGGCAACAACCAAAAGAGTTTTATTGATTTGATTAGAGAATAGATTGCTAAGAATTGTGGCAAGCACCGTACTGTAGGTTGCCAAAGGCTACCTACTCAACATCAAACAGAAAGAAACAAAAGATGCTACTGTACCATAACCTAGCAACTCCAGTTGAGCACCCATCTTGAGCTGGTTTCACACATAATGTCTGGCAGTGAAGCTTCATGGTCAACCCATGCCACGTTTCATGTATAGATGCATTTAGAAGATCCTCTTTGTTCCACAAATCCTTAGGTATGGTAAGAATCCCAAAACTTGCTAGCTGTCAATGTCCCAAAATAGATAATGCTAAATGGAAAAATATCCAAATTTTGCAAAATAATGATGACTACCAAATAATTATAGAATGATTTCAACTGATATTAAAAGAGTGCAAGTGGTAGCACTAGATGGCTACATGGTATATAATCAACCTGGCCAATATATAAAAGCACAAATTCATGAACATTCAATAGTGAAGAACTTCAAAAACTTGTCCTAATATTTTACAATGAAAGGTCATACATCTGAATGAAAATTTGTAATGGTTACTTACAGCATATCTATACTATTATTAAGCACATGCCCTTACACTAGTCAAATTAAAACAAAGATCTTGTTCCAAACCTCTTCAAGTATGGAGTCAAAAAGAATTGTTTAACACATGAAATACGATGAAGAGAAGATCACCAGATTAGACTAAGATTTGGAAATAATCATCCCAAGAATTTTATTGGCATGATATGGTCTTATGTTTGAATGGTCCAATGTCCCAGATGAAAAATGGCAGGTATTGGTGGTGTGTCTAGAGATGCCTCAAGTGAAGTCTTGTCCATATACTTGGGACCTATAGGAGAAGGGGACTCACTAAAGCCTGAACTGATGGCACTGTTACAAGGATTAAGATTTGCTGAGCAATCAAATTTTAGAAACCTGGAAATTGAAGGAGACTCGTAAGTGATTTTTTCTTGAAGAACTTCTAGATGTAATGCACCCTGGATCTATAGACATGCCTTAATGGAGATAGAAAGCCTGCAAGAGGAATTGAATGCTTACTTGGATACGCAGGACGGCTAATGGGATAGGCAACACTTTAGCCAAGCAAAGAGTATTTAGGCAGCAGCTATTTTGGGCTCTATTGTAATTTGTTTTGGGCTATTGTTTTCTGTCTTCTTGGGTATAATAGATACCCAAACTGCTGTAATTTTTTCTCTTCTATTAATATAATTAATCTTTTTCTGATAAAAAAAGAGTTGGTGTATGTGTTGACAGCCATGCTATTAACAAGGTCACAGTTAAATACAGGTTTCCTATACCTCACCTTGATGACATGTTAGACACATTGGCTGGCTCACAAGTCTTTTCAAAGATAGGTTTGAAGAGTGGGTACCATCAAATTCGTATCCAAGAGGGGGATGAGTGGAAGACTGCATTCAAGACTAAGGTCTTTATGAATGGTTGGTTATGCCATTTGGGTTGTCTAATGCTCCTAGTACCTTCATGAGGTTCATGAGCCAAGTTCTAAGGCCGTTTATGGGGAAGTTCATGGTAGTTTATTTTGATGACAAACTCATCTACAACAAAGATCATGACAGCCACTTAGAACACTTGAGAGCAATCTTACAAGTCTTGAGGCTCAGCTATATATAAACTTGAAAAAGTGTAATTTTATGAAAGATTAATTGGTGTTTTTGAGGTATGTTGTTTCAGCCAAGGGGATTGAAGTGGATCAAGAAAAAGTTCAAGCTATTCAAGAGTGGCCAACACCAAAGACCTTAGCTGAAATTCGTAATTTCCATGGGCTAGCCACATTTTATCATCGATTCATAAAGAATTCCAGCACGATTGTGGCACCCATTACTGAATGCTTGAAAGGAGGTGAGTTTACTTGGACTTTTGCAGCTAAGAAAAGCTTCCAAGAGCTAAAGATAAGGATGACCAAGGCTCCAGTACTGGCTTTACCTAATTTTAACAAGCTCTTTGACATTGAATGTGATGCATCACATGTGGGGATTGGAGCTGTCCTTAGTCAAGAAGGCCATCCAATTGCTTACTTTAGTGAGAAACTCAATGATGCTAAAAGGAGGTATTCCACTTATGATGTTGAGTTTTATGCCATTGTACAAGCCATAGTTGTCAAGGTAACTAGGGCCTAGGCGACCACAGGGCACCCAGTTGCCTAGGCGCCTAGGTGGTGTCTATGCAATGGAATTTGAAAGTATAAAATAAAGATCCCTAACCCTTCTTAAGCTATTGTTTTAGTTTTTTCCACTGACCAACATACCATGAACTGGTTATTAGAAATAAATTCATTCAAATAAAACATAAAATCCCATCATATACATCATACCTGTTTCATGCCAACAAAAAAACGAGGAATGTAGCAAAAAAAGAGAGAAAAATAAGGGGGCAGAGCCCCTGTTTTGTTCCCAAAAAAAATATTTCTTAAAAAAGAAAAAAAGCATAGGAGTTAGAGGACATGGAGCAAAAAAGAAAAATAGGAGTAAGAGACTTGAACTGTGTTTAAGGTGGTGGAGGCCCTGTTTTAGGATAATAAAAAGGGAGAATCCTGCGAAAAAGGAGAGAAAAATAAAGGGACAAAGCCCCTGTTTCGTCCAAAACAACATTATCAAAAAGTAGTGAAAAAAAAATAGAGGAAAGACTTAGAAAGTTGGGGCGCAGCCCCTATTTAAGAAGAAGAAGAAGAAGGGGGCGGAACCCCTGTTTCGTTTCCAAAAGTTTTTTGAAAAATTAGAAAATAAAATATTGGAGTACTAGGTTGATTTGAGTAAGGAGGAGGGAGGAGGAGTGGTTGAAGAGGCGGAGCCCCTGTTTGATCCCCAAAAAGTAAGAGAAAAAAGGACCACAAAACAATTAGACCGTTTAAGAAACTTACCAGGAGGTCTTGGATGACTTGGACTGAGTCCTCAATTTCTCTTCTCAGTCTCAGTTCAGAATGCAAACCCAAAGAATTGAAACCCAAAAAAGTTATAACATACAACAAGATATATTCTAATAAAATAAAACCAACCAATAAAATGATACAACATATAAAGGCATTCAAAAAATGATATAATGTGTATATGTGTGTGTGCCTAATACAAAAAACACTTGGCGTTGGGCGAGGCGACTTCTAAAAATCACCTAGTCACCTTGACAACTATGGTACAGGCCTTGAAGTTTTGGAGGCATTATCTTATCCAACGGGAGTTTGTGTTGTATTCAGACCATGAAGCATTGAAACACCTTAACTCCCAGCAGATGATAAAGGGAAGACATGCTAAATGGGTTAATTTTCTACAAGAATATAATTTTGTTATGAAGCATAAGGCTAGACAGCAAAACCGGGTAGCCAATGCTCTTAGTAGGAGAGTTCATTTGGTGACAACAATGTCTATGAATGTTGTGGGATTCAGCTCCATCAAAGATCAATACCAAGATGGTCCTTATTTTGGCCCTATTTATAGAAGCCATGCAGCAAGTGACAATGATATTCGAGCCAAGTTTGTATGGAATGATGGTTACTTATTCATGGGCAATAGGTTATGCATTCCATCAGGGTCTTTGAGGGCAACTCATTGCTGATTTGCATTGTAAGGGACATTTTGGCCACAAGAAGACACTTGAAATGGTCTCCAAATGATACTTTTGGCCAAGACTACAAAAGAATGTGTTTTACTATGTTGATAGGTGTCACAAGTGCCAAACATCTAAGGGGCAGCATCAAAATACAGGTTTGTATCTTCCCTTACCCATACCAGAAGCACCATGGACTGATATTACTATGGATTTTGTGTTGGGGTTGCCAAGAACAGCTAGGGGTAATGATTCTATTATTGTTGTGGTTGATCATTTCTCTAAAATGGCCCACTTCATTGGCTGCCAAAAGACTTCTGATGCTTCTCATGTAGCAAACTTGTTTTTTAAAGAAGTTCTTCGGTTGCATGGATTTCCAAGATCTATCACATCAGATCATGATACAAGATTTCTTAGCCACTTCTAGAGGACTTTATGGAAGCATATGGGTACTACCCTACAGTATAGCAGTATATTTCACCCACAAACAGATGGACAAACTGAAGTGGTTAAACGGAGTTTGGGTAACTTGTTGAGGAGCTTAGTTGGAGATTACTTAAAGCAATGGCATCATATCCTACCACATGCTGAGTTTGCCTTCAATGATTCAGTTAATAGATCTACAAGGAAGACTCCTTTTGAGGTTGTGTATGGTTGGTCGCTGAAAGATGTTATTGATCTAGCTCCTATAATAGGGTTGCGGTGAGTGAGTGATGATGCCGAGGCCTTAGCTGAATCCATTCGAGAGATTAAAGAGAATGTATGACTGAAGTTGAAAGAAAGCAACCAAAGGTATAAAGAAGCTAAGCATAAGCATCGTCGAATGAAAGAGTTTCATGAGGGCGACCTAGTCATGGCTTATTTGTGGCCCAAGAGGTTTCTTGTTGGGACTTACCATAAGTTGAAGCAGAAAAAGATTGGGCCATGTCAAGTGCTGAAACGGTTTGGTGACAATGCATATGAAATTGAGCGACCAACTGATTTGTCCATTCCACCTATTTTTAATGTAGCAGACCTCTTTGATTACCATAGAGATCTAGAACCAGCAAACAAGGTTGAGCAAGGACAAGCACAAAGGACCCATAATTCTAATGAGTTTGAACAAGTAGAGTGTGTAGAAAATGTTTGAGTCACCAACACTCGAAATGGGACCTATTTTAGGTTCTTGGTCAAGTGGAAAGGGAAACCAACAATTGAGAACTCTTCAATTAGTGAAGAGTTTATGAAGATAGATGGAGACATGTGCAATGTTGTTAAAATTGCTACTCGCACGGGGTCGAGCTCTTTTTAACCCAACGGGAATGATGAGGCCAAAAAAAAGAAAAAAAAAGTAAATGTATTATGTTTTGCATGCTTTTGTAGTAGGACTCCAAATTGTTGCTTTTGGGTAGCTTTGTTGACAGTTTGGGACCAGGGATATTTTTGTCATTTTATAATTCAGATTATGGTCAGGGCAGTTGGGTGCACATCTGTTGGGTTTTGGTCTCTTGGGTCTTTTTGTAACAAAAGTTATCTTTTGGGGGGCCATTGAAGTTAGTTTTGTTCTTATGGAGTTGCTTGTGAGAGGGAAACAATCTAGGGGTTTATGTGTAAATATTTTAATTGGCTTCTCCAGCAAGCCATTGGGTCTTATAAAAGAAAAGGGGGCTGTTTCTGGAGGGGCTTTCTTTTAGTTCTTTCTCTCTTGTTTGAGTTGTAGCTCATCCC